CTCTCTCCCTCTCTCTCTCTCTCTCTCCCCCCCTCTCTCTCTCTCTCTCTCTCTCTCTCTCTCTCAATCGCTATAGTCACACACGGTAATTCAAATGCCAGTAATTCGTCCAATCGTGGTAAGGCTGCTCGTCCGTAGGCATCCGGAGGATCGCGTATCTTCGCGAGTCCTCCTCCGTCACTTCCCCTCTCGCCCTGCGATGTTCGGCATTCGGGAATCGGCAATTTTCGGTACGGTTGTCTCGAGACATTTTCTGTCTCTAGACACTGTTGCCGTCGTGGATCTGTTCGCTGCCTCTCTCGGTGCTCCCGTTTTTTTCTGCTGGGTTCCACGCGACGACTGCGTCCGCTGAAAGTAAATACAGCTGACAGTCTCACGTTTAATTTGGGGTAGCTGTGCTTTCGGTACAGAATATTCTAAACGTTAGAATATTCGATATTGGTGAGCGATCGGCAATTCGAGAATATTTTAACACAAAATTTCGAGAGAGCAATTCACCTGAATATGAGCGATGCGTCATCGAGCGCTGCTTCCTCGTCCTTCGATATCCTCCGCTCCTCTAGTCCTGATGGCCGGCAAGGGAAGCCGAGAAGCACAAAGTTAGAGACGCGCTGACTTTCGCATCTGCTCCGCTCGCAAAAATTGCTTCCAATATTCGTTCTATAGACCCTCACAAACAAAAATACGACGGGACGCGAGAATATTCGCCGTTCGCGACGCGATACGCGAGAAACATTCACACAAAATCGGTACGGTTTCTTTTGAGACGGGCGCCTCCGAGGCTGTCACGTCACACAGCAAAGCAGAGTCGTTAAATTCATTCCTATATCGACCATTCTTCATGGAACTGCCCTTATCAATCACTGTGAAGCCATATTTGTGTTGCCAACATTCGCGACACAATGTTGAAATTGAAATCCTCATATGACATGTCTGTGTTCACATGATCGTTGTAAACATATTTCAAGTTGGTACCAACTTGTTTAAAGAGAATCAACAGATTTGCGTTGTCGCGTATAAGGTGCTTGAGTATCTTTATATACGTTTGA